GCACTGGAACAGGCTGCCCAGGGAGGTTGTGGAATCTCCTTCTCTGGAGATATTCAAGACCTGCCTGGACAAGGTCCTGTGCAGCTTGCTGTAGATGACCCTGCTTCGGCAGGAGGGTTGGACTAGATGACCCACAGAGGTCCCTTCCAACCCCTACCATTCTGTGATTCTGTGAACTGCACAGTTGAGTTGGATGGAGCCAAAATTTCTTTTTGCTGCACTGACGCTCATGTAGTTCTTCAGATCCCTCTCTGAAAACCTTTCTTCTGCAGTTCCTCTAACAAACAAAATTGTAATAGGAGTAATTGGAAGTGTTCCCCCTACACACATGCTTCTCAGTTTCCTTTTATCTGGAGGCTTTAAGTTATGAGCTTTTAAGGCTAGGACTGCTTTCTTTATAAAGAAAAAATAAAAACCACAAAACCCACAGTGGCATTGACTGCTTCAAAGAGACCAATACATGGAGATTCTGCAAGGGGCTGGTATTAATTTGTTGTGTTTCCAAGAGGGTTTTCTTCACTGGGTCAGACCATTAGTTCACTGCACCTAGATGACCTCCTCCTGCTGGAAGGCTGCAATCTAGCCAGATGCTGCGAGACCTGTGCTTTACAGCCTGGGTGCCAGTCTATCTTCTAAAGCTTCAGTTTGTTTTATAAGCATGAGGCTTGTGTTTATCCATATAAATGCTTACTCATTTTTTTGAATCCTGTTAAGCTTTTGTCTTCAATTAAGTTTTGTGGCAAGTACTCCCATAGTCTGAATATGAGAAGTGCACTTCCTTTTATCAGATCTAACTTTCAGTCTTTCATTTAAATAAATGTCATCTTTCTTTTGTATTCTGAGAGGATAAATCAAGATCTTGATCCTCATCATTCATTAGTCTGTATACTCTTATCATGGCTGCTTTTAATAGTCTCTTAAATAGCTATATTGAACCAATCTTTTCACGTCATCGATGTATCAGGTTTTTTTTTCTTCTTTTCCTGTTTCTTAAATCGTCAGGTTCTTAATATTTCTGTCCTGTATTTGGAGGGATATAAGTGTTCTGTACACTGTAACACAGGATTCTGGTGCTGGTGGATCTGTCCCTGCCGTTCCCACCATCTTGTCCTTTGGTTGCTTTTGGTGACTGCTGCACAAGAGAACTACTTTTGGACTTTGTTCAGGTTTTCCAGGGAGCAGATAGTTGATTTAGAGTCCTGCTATGTCTGTGATTAATTCATGTTATTTTCTTTAGTATGTATTGTTGGTTTTGTTAACATTGATTTTTCATTTGCCTTTCTATAGTCTGTTCACATAGCAGTCTGAGCTGTTTAAAAAGTTCCTCATAGTATTCTCCAATCTCGTAATCTCTTTAAAACTGCACTAATACTCATTTCACTGCAAATCCTCATTTGAGCTCATGAATAAATATCACAAGCACCACCTGTCTTGATATGAAAAACTTCTGGCTTCCACTGTTAACCTTTTGCTGTCATGAAAATTCATGATTAATTTGTGGTCTTATTTTCTCCACACTACATATTTTAGTCCATGTTACTACTTTATTTCACTATCCAAGCCTTGCAGATAACTCCTGAAAAATGCAACAAGCTTTGGCAAAAGTGTTTGAAATCCTGAATGACCGAAATCATTCTATTCTATTGCATTAGCCACCTCATTTCTAGAGGTGAATCAATCACACATTTAATTCACGCTTGTATCATGGCAGAAGCCATGTTGGTTTGAATCTGTTGTCATGATTTCAAAGACTTGTATCATTTTAATTTTAAATGGTCACTTAAACTCAACTGTTTTTAAGATTGTTACTTAAATCATTGTGGCAGCAGTGGCATAGGGCATACCTAGATGAACAATGTGGTGAGAAACTCATGGTCTGCAGGAGCTGAGCTGCATGGTGCCTACTTGTGTGAATGTTCTCACTCTGCACTAAACATGGCATACTTAGTATGTTTAGATAAACTAGCTTGAATTTACTATAGGGCAAGAAGAAGCAGAGATGCATCTTTCACCATGGTGAACTGTCTGGTAGCACCTTCTAACAGCATACTTGCCCTAATTTGCCGGAAGGTTTTGTAACTAATTCTTCCTATCTAACACTAAATAATATGTCTGGTTTTGAAGGTGAAACTGGTCTTGGAAATAGACATGCTCAAAACCAGTCAATGGGTTGGTAAATCCAGGAGTCTTACTTTCTGTCCTGCCTACACATGCTTTAGAAGTGCTTGGCAGAGAAGGTGGTAGCTAATTTCAGATTGGTACCCTTACTGAAATATGATTGTGGAATACCTTCAGTGTTACTGTTATACAGCTGTAAAACAACTCTTATTTTGTGTAGTCATGCACTGAATATCTTCCATACTATATTAAAACATTTCTGTATTTGAGCAGTAAATTCAGATACTTCCTATCTTGAAGATCCATCATGAAGTAACATTGAGAAGATGAAAGGCATTATCAAAGTGTAAACTATACAACAAACTTGAGTTGCCATTTCTGCCACCTTAGCCCGCAATTTAGAAGTTGGTTTTGGACTTGTGCCAGCCTCACTCCATCAGTTTTGCATAGTTTAGCCCAATGTGTGTGTATATATATATGTATGGAGCTTAATTCTCTTGCTGTATTGACCTTGGAGTTGTTCCTGATATATATCAGCTGCTTGAATACTTACATTGTGCTTAGTCATATTAGTAAATTTCAATTTAGGATTTGGTTGGGGTTTTTAAACAGATCTTAATCTCAATTGCGTCCTAAAGGTTTTCTTTATGTTTGCAGTAATTTTGTGAAACATGAAAGATGTTTCCTTTATTTCATGGTAATGCGTCTTCACTGCCTTTCAGATCAAAAGGGGCAATCTTGAATATCGCCTCAGCTGCTGGGATGTATCCAACTCCACTGCTGACTCTTTACTCCGCAACCAAGGTAAGTGCTCTTTTCCACACTGAAATCGAGTGTCAAACAAGCCAGCGCTACAGGAATAAATGTTTTGGTGTCCATCTAGTGGTGCTTTCATGAACTAAAAGTACCGAGTTTCTAACTTAAGTTTTTCCAGTAGTGGAAGCTGGAAGGTTGAGAGAAAGAGGAGTGCAGGAGTTTACTGGAATGGAAACAACTATTTTATATATTTAATCATGCATTCTACTTTCACAGGGAAAAGGATGCTAGTGTACAAAGTAAGCTTAGTGATGAGGTTGAGAAAGGACATTGACTAAGTTTAACTCTTTCTTATTTTGACTTTGCAACTGTTTTCCCCCTAATCTTACTGAAGATGTGTATCTTCAATATATGTTCATATATATATTGAAGTAGGACTCTTACGGTGCTTGCTGGAAGCAAACACTTGTCCTCCTTTTTTATTAATTGCCTTAAGTTTAGCATTTCAGGTAAGAGAAAGGACAGAGCTCTATGGCCTCGCCACTACCAAATAGTCAGCTTCCCCTGATCTGCTGACCATACATCCTGCTAACGTAGCCCAGTATGTCGTTTAATGTTCTTGCAGTGAGTGGATTATTGGCTTGTCGTCTCCCTGGCAGCCACCATAAATTCCAGGTTCTTTGAAGCAGGGCTTCTAGTTGACCAAAATTAAGGCATGGCGTTATCCTTCTCTGTATGCAGAACTTCACTCTGTGCCAGTCAAGAAATCTCACGATGTTTAACAGTAATCAAGTTTATCAGGGTTTCTCTGGACTGAAGCTCTGTCGTGTCAACTGCTCCATCTAATGGTGTCATCTGCAGATTTGCTGAGGGCGTGTGCCATGTCATCAGCTGGGTTGCTGCTAGGAGATACTGAAGAATGTGGGCCTTGGTATTGATCTGTAGGTTCTCAGCCTGTTATCAGCCAGATGTCAAGCTATTAATTGTGGCCCTTTGAGCCTGGCGGTCCAGCCAGTTTTCAGTCTGGCCAGCAGTTTGTCCTTTCAGCACGTATCTGCTCGACTTCCAAATGAGAATGCTGCAGAAGATGGTGTCAAAAGCTTTACTGAAGTGAAAATATATCTATACACACACACACATAGTTTATATATATTAAAAATCTGTTTCCCTCATCTACAAAGCTAGTCCACTCCATTGTAGAAAGCAATTTAATTGGTCAAACATGATTTGCTGTTGGTAAGTCTGTGTTGACTGTTTCTGATGTATCTTCTTGTCCTTTATGTGCTTGGAAATGAATTCCAAGGGGAGAGCTTCATGATCTTTCCACCAACTGAGTTAAAGCTGATGGAATCATTCTTGCCTTTTCAAGGAGGGCTAGCTATGTTAGCCCTCTTCCAGTTGTCAAAGACCTCCCCTAGTTTCCATACTCTTTCAGATACCGTAGGCAGCAGACTTGTATACATACAGACTAGTTCTTTCAGCACCCTTGAGTGAATCCATGGTGGCTCCATGGGTTTGAATACATCTAGCTTCTCAGATTAGTGCCTAAATTGTTGCTGCCTCTACCTATCCCTTTCTTTAAACAAAACTGGTGCATGCAGAGGCATGTGAGTAGGCTTTGGCTGTGCAAAGGCAAGAGGAGTGTTGCATACCTTAACCTTTTTCTATCCTTTATCTCTACGTTGTCTCCCTTATCCATCAAAAGACCTCAATTTCTCTGAAATTCCTATTGAAACTAGTATACCTGTAGGATCCTTTACTGCTACCCTGAGTGTCCTTTGCTAGTCTTTTCCTAGCTCAGATTTTATTCCTGAGTAACCAGTAGTGTTTTATGTTTCTCTTTTGTTACTTCTCCTTGTTTCTGTCTCTCATATGCTCATTTTTTAGTTCATCAAGAAGCCCTCCACTTAGCCAAGCACTCCTTGTACTCAAATTTCCAGTCTTCTTCCACAATAGGCTGGTTTATTTTACCAGTTCGTAAGTTACTATTCTAGATCTACTGTTAGATGTTAATGTTTGTTAATGTTAAATGTATCTACTCTGGTTTCTCTTTGTGTTACTGGGACAGTTTTGTCTTTCTGCAGCTGGTCTTGTTTTTTTTTCCAAAGATAACTTGTAGGAGCTTCTAAAATGTTCCCCTAAAAGATCTCTAGTTAACACTGTAAAGACGGAATATGAGTACATAGTATGGAACTGAAGTATGCATGATAAAACTAAATGCAAGAGATGTTTATACTGGTATTAAAGCAGTATGGCACTACAGCTTTTTCAGGTGCACCTGGTAATTACCTTAAATACTGCAAGGATTTCGGAGTTTAAGCAGAACTTTGACAGGGTGAAGAAACCTTCAGTAATGTCATTCATGTCAAAACAGACCTGTGTTTCTTCTAGACTCTTAGTAACGTCTCCGTATTTCCAGAAAGGAATTGATGCACACTATTCATACTAAAGGAGGGGATATTTAAGTTCAGAAATCATGAAAGCCTGAATTAGTTTTAGCTGATAAAATTTGCTCTTGAAATAGCTGTTTCCTGAGAGCTCAGTTCTTTGGTTTAATACAAGAGGTCACTTGCATTGTGGCAGTGCCTTCAGCTTTATGGAATGAATTGAGCTTTTGATTTTAGTGATAATATGCCTTACACTGCTTTGGTTAGTCTTTTTTCAATGAGAATCTCAAATATTTCTTCCCCCTTCCCCTAAGAAACTAAATTACACGCTAAGTAATCTGGCTATTCTCAGCACTGCTCATCTTCTACCACAGCAAGATTAGTAAGCATGAAAGTGACTCCCCTAATGTTGCTATAGAAAGACTGTATCTGCAATTTCTAGGTTTTTTTTCCTTATCTAATAAAGAGGGGGATTTAAAGCATAGTATCCTTCAGGTCTAGGTCAATGGCTTTGGCTAATTATCAGGAACAGACGCAGTCCAACTCTTTAACCTTCCCATGGAAATTTCCCTATGTTACAATGAAACGAAACACTTAAAGGAATCAGTCCTGTTTTTTCACAGGTCTACCTATCTACTTGTGTTAATACTAGTAAGTGAAATGTGAGGTTTCTTTCCTCCCTCCCATGTCTTAAGTGTTTGGGTTTGTTACTGGATATCCAAGGAGAAGAAACTTTCTTGCATGTGATGCTCATCTGCTTGTTCAGGGCATGTTTACTTAACGTTCCTAAGACTTTTTTAAGTTAAAGGTTTTTGGGGGGCTTGAGCATCTGGAGGTAAAAAACCCAACTTGTCTTGAAATAAATTATTCAAGAAGAAAAACTCCAAAGCTTATCTGTGTACTGGAGGTTGCTTTTCTTCTCATGTAAAATGAACATTCTCTTTATTGAACACCCTTTGCAACCATTAGAGATGACAGGCTTTTTGTACTGTCTCTCCATATTTGGAGCAGTAACTGATTTCGGGACTTTTGTGTAGAAATAGTTAGAAATTTGAATGATCAAAGCACTTTGATTAACACAATATAGTTTTTAATTTATTTTAATAGATTATTGGTACACTTTGTGCAGTTATCACATATACATCTGGCAGTTGTGTTCAGGGACTGCACCAAAGTAATTTGCATGTCTGTGCAAGTGCCTTACTGTTGCAGCAGGATGGCTAGCTCACTGGAATCATTGCTGCTAGACCAGACTTTCAGAGTCTGGTTCATGCTGAGTACTGAATGTCACTAAGAACTTATACTTCAGGGAGAGGGAGAAGGAAATAACAGTTGAACGGAAGATAAGCTTTTTTGGTTTAATGAGCCTCCTCCTAGCTAGTACAAGCAACTTGAAGGTGAAGAATAAAAGGACCTATCTGCTACACAGCAAAATCTTGTTTTCTTTCAGATCTTGTATATGCTCAGAAGAGTGTCTATAGAAAGTGCCCGATGGTATGGGACTGTTTCTGTTGCTTCTTGTATGGGCTGAGTTCAGTGGGATGACCTTGACAGGAAAAACACTGGGCACTGCAAACCTTAGCTGCTGGTTTCAGAACTGTGTTAATCCACTGGTGACATGGTGACCAAAGGAAGACTGTAAAGCGGGTGCAATACTAAAGCTTTGCCATTTGTTTTGAAACTGCTGTGAAGCAACTGCTTCTTTGAATACTTGAATTAATTTATTTAGTATCTATTTTAGCTTCAAGCATGAATAAGATAGTTCAATTCCTTCAGTTGAAGGTACTCCATTCATCCTACTTGGCTGTGTTGTTTCAATAAAACAAGAAACCTGATATTTTGTCTCGCTGGACTGCAGAAGGGAGAAGTGGAATGGTGGTTTAGAAGAACTTTGAGAGAGGAAATTTATGCTGGTTTGAACTGCTGAGTAGCCTTGGGTTATTAGGGCAATACTTTCTCTGTGTGGTTATGGATGCGGCTGTATCAGATGTGAGGGCATCTTGAAGGCAGGTACTACCCTCCACCTTTTAAGCCCTTTAACTTCTTTCTTTAAACTTCTAGTCTTGTAATTTCTAAAACTTCCAGAAGTTTGGAAGACAATCTGTGGAGGTGGATTTCAGGACTAGGAAGAAGTATCACCATAGGGTGGCATTTCTTTAAAGTGTAAAGGCAGAAGACAAAGTCCTTAAACACTATGTTTTACAAACCGTACACAAGAGAAATCTGCTTATATCACTAGTTAAAAAAATGTCTAAGGAGATAACGTAAGTAGTGAACCATATGAGCATAAAAAGTCTTATATTCCTTTAACTAGGCTTTATGTAACAAATCTAGTTCCTTTTCCTTCTAAAATAAAAGGGTTTTATTTGTTTACATTGAGCCTCACTTCTGTAAAAATACTTTGTAAGCCTGGGTTTTCTATTCAGATGGCATTGCTCTAATGCGCAAAGTTTCTTTGAAAAATTAAGGAAACTTTGGAAACAGGAACTCTAAATAGTAATTCAAATATGGTTACAAAAACCTACGAACTATAGTTCCCGTTGTGATACGTAGCACACTGCATATTTCCCTTCTTTTCTCTCTAGGCTTTTGTGGATTACTTCTCCCGAGGCCTCCATGCAGAATACAAGAGCAAGGGTATCATTGTGCAGGTGAGTAGAGTTTGTTTCATGTGAGTGTGGTTACTACAGCAACATTGGTGTCTTGGTAACGAAATGGAATCAGCATATTCTCTTATTCATGAATATGTGACACAGATTAAGGATAAGGACTTCCTTTGATCCCATTAGCAGTTTTCTTCAGTGACTCTGAAATGTTGTGTCTTAAAGCAACAAAAAACATAGTTTGTTTTTGGTTGGTGGGTTGTTTTTTTCTTAAGCTGAGGTTTAATTGAACCTTTAAGTATAAAATATTCCATAAACCTGTGTAACTCTGTAAAATACATCTTCATCCAACTTCATCTACTGGAATGCACTTTTGAAGTGAGTTTGTACAGAGATTCGATGGGTAACTGCTCAAAAGACTAGAATAGTAGCAGTCCCTGCAGTGTCAGTGAATCAACTGCTAGTGTAAGCATAGTAGCAAGAACAAACAAAAGCCTCAAAGACCCTTTGTATGTAATGGACTGATTTAATTTTCTTTAGCGCTGGGTTTCCACATTACTAATGAGTCTTGCTTTTTTTCATACTGTTTGTTTACCTTTCATGGTTTTAATTATTTTTGTGGGGCATAAAAACAAACCAAGCTGGTCTATCACAGCATTATGAGATTTTGCTTTAATATCACTTCTCTCGCATATTCTTGGTGTTTGCTTCCAAAACGTAGCTGGAGTTTCCAGCTTTGGTCACAAACACTGAGTTGTTTATTACTTTTTACACCTGTTACTCTCCAAAGGAATAGCCAATTTGATAAAGGTGGTATAAGATCTTACTTGTACTCTGAAGACGGTGTTATCTTTTTTAAATTCAGTTAGGAATCTTCTTACAAGCAGGATTAGCCTGTGTGCATGCCTGTCATTCCCTGTGCTGTATGGTGGTTCTCAAAATCACCTGAACTCAGAAGGCCCTGTGGGGAGTAAGGCACAAAGTTGCCTGCCTTATTTGTGTCGTCATGAAGTGTGTGAGCACAACTTTTGTTACTGGCTAAAGAGAAGTTGTTACCAACTTAAGGCTGTGTTACCTTTTTGACATGCTAGATTTTTTTTCCCTCCCTTTAAGCATACTTAGCAAAACAAGAATTTATCACAAAGAAATGTCCTGCAGTTTAGTATCCAGATGCTTAGTCCCAGATATTTTGCATAATGTCCTGCCCCAGTTCCTGAGAGAGGACTGTGTTAAGAAAAAAGGCAATTGCAAGGTGAGATATTCCCCTGCAGTCACTGACCCTTTAATGGGAACCTCATTTAAACCTAGATTTAAGCTTTATGCTAAACATCTTAAGGGATGCTGTTTATCTTGGGCTCTGTTGGCAGTGGGAGGAAGCTGGCAAAGGTGGTCCCTGAGAGCATTCTAGCTACTCTTGTTGTGGACCTTCTTGAGGACAGACTAGATGGCATTAGTTTTATGCTGGTAACGGATTATAACTTGCTGCAGAGCCCCCAAAGTGTAACTTCTGCTCTGAGTGCTTGGTGCTGTGCCCTGGCACCCTGGGATGTACCTTCAGCTAAAGCAATGTGCAGCAATGCAGGATGCGTAAAAGGTCGCAGCACTCTGAACGGGTGCAGGTTCAGCATACAGGCTGGTTTGCCTCTGCTCTCAGTTCTTGAGGTGGATTAAGCTGGAGCAACTTTTAGTGTTTTATGTCTCTCTGTTACTCTCACAGGGCTTTCCAATTCTTTCCCTGGCTTCAGCCCCAAACGGCCCTGCAGTGGGTTAATCTTTACCACACTTCAAGTTCCTTACAGCTTTCTTTTCACTTTTACCCTTTTATATTACTTCTATCTCCCCAGTGTGGTTCAAATTGTGTTACTCACAGAAGAGTTTAGCTTCATTATCAGCCAGCTGATCTTCCAATCTGTTTCATTTACATGCAGTGTGGCCCTCTTAATCTGTGATCACAGTCTCCAAATGAGACTGAGGGAACTGGTAGCATATTTCTCTTTTCTACGTCAATAATATGCAGTCTTACGGTAGGATTGCCTGCCTGCCTACAAACTGTGAGGCACAGGCTCCTTCAGCACACAGTTTCACTGGCAACAGAGCTGGGTGTGATTTTTCTGTTTGGTTTGGTTTTGGTTTTTTGGTGGTGTTTGTGTGCGTGTTGCAGCAGGATGTCTAAGCTCTTTCTCTTTTCTGGTGTTTTCTCAGGTAAAGCTGCTGATAGTTACCTCAGTGTGACAGTATTTAGAGACAGGTGCTTGCAGGAGAAAGAAGCGTTACATCTTTGAGATGTCTTGTTCCTATGTGCATTTGTCGTCTCCTCCCCAAATTTTGTCTAAATAGTACTCTGTCAGTTTGAGAAGAGAAGAAAGAAGGAGCAGGTACTGGTCATTTATGACTAAGGAGTACCTGTTGAAACTGAAAAGGTAAATAACCCAGCAACTCATGCTTGACTAAAGGCATTAAACACAGTATGAATGTACATAGTATGGAAAAGATTTTCTAGCTTTTCGGTGTGGAAAAACTAGAAAAATTTTCAGTGTTTTACATTTTTAGCATGATAAACAAATGAAAAATTTAAATCTGGCTTTCCGTATCAACAGTTAAGTTTTCCTGTGCAACATGTCACAGGTTGTGGTAGGCTATCTTTTTTGTAACTCCTGTGTTGGCTAAGGGTGCTGAATTCTTGACAGCACTGCTTTTTTGCCCCTAAGTGTAGACAGTGAATTGCCATTCTGAGTTATGTGGGCCTGATGACCAATAGCTGTCACAGCTTTAATTTGTTATGCTAATTTTATTGCAGTCCATGTCCTTGTCGTCGTGTTTCAGCCTAAGTCACTGTAAACCACTAATGAATATTACGAGTACCTTCCTGTGAAGACCAGCTGACATATCTCCTTCAAGTCCTTAGGAAGGCTGCATTCCCTTTAGATTCTTTGAGGTTCTTCTCTTTGACCTTCAGAAGTGTAGCGCTTTTAATTCCAGCTGAGGTCACCATTTAAAACAGTTAACTTTTACTGTGCCAGTATCTGCCGAGTACAACTGTGTGAAAGGCAGAAACAAAGTGCAGGTGGGATTTTCCCAATTTCTGAAGTTCAACCTAAAGTATATCAGTTTTGTTCAAGTGGATTGCCTTCTCTGTGGAAGCTTAGTTTTGATAGTATATAGTGCTTTTATTGCAATGTAGCCATCTTTAGATTAAAAATATACTCTTTCTGGCTGACAGGCCTACTTAATTTTACAGAAGCAGCATAGTAATAGCATAGGTTAAAATTCTGTATGTGTTTACATGGAGAGAAAGAGATAGGCAAAATAAAAAAGGAACGAGGAAGACGACCATGAGGACTTCTCTCAAGACTTTTTTGGAAAAATCTCTCCCTGTAAGATTTCTGCAGACTCTTCTGAAACTTTTGCTCTGTTTTTTACCCTTTTTTTTTTACTCCCCTTTTTTAAACTTCAGTTAGTTACTGGCATTTTCCCTCTGTCTTTGTTACTATGTGTGGCGAAAGTGTAACAGTAAAAGCTTTCACTACCTGTTTTCTTCTGCCATATCAACTACATAAAATATCAGATCACAAAATCATGGAAGTTTTCATTTGAAGGAATCTCTAGAAAGATTTCTAGTCTAATCTCCTTCTCTCCTATCAGTGGGATTGCCTAGCAGTTAGCAGTGGGATTGCTGCTCACACTACGTCGTGGGCTAGTGGTGGCTTTATCCAGCCAAATCTTGAAAACCTTCAAGGGCAGGGATGCTGTGACCTCTCTGGGCAGCTGGTCTGAGTGTCGCACTGCTCTCCTAGCAGAAGGCTTTCTCCTGAGTGTCTAGTCTGACAGTCCACAGCCAAAATTGACAGTTTTACCTCTTGTTATTCTGTCTGACACTACCAAGGAAGAGTTTGGCTCTTATCTTCATAACTGCCCTTGAAATAAGTTTGGTCAGGTGTTGGGTCACTACCAGCTCCCTTTCCACCACACTGAACAAGCCCAGCTCTCTCTCTCCAGGTATTCGCAGCAGTGTGCTGTCCCCAGACTAATGGCGAATGGCATTTTGATGTTGCTTTTTAGATTTCTGTACAGGTCAGCTTTGGTTGCTGTAATTCTTGCATTTCCCCTTTATGTCCCCTGCCCTCCTTTTCACCGCAAAGAAATGGAAAGAAACTTCTTTGGAAACACTGGAGAGTTCAGGTCTTTTTTTAAGACTAAGGTAAAATAGGTGATAAAATTGAGCAAATAAGCTATTCTGGCTTTTGGGGGCTTATTTTCATGTGACTGTAGCATAATTAGTAGAGGCTTCTGTGCGGGACTTGAGATCTGACTTCTTGCATCCGTACAACACTCAAGACCCCAGTTCTGAGTGCCAGCCAATTTTAATAAGCATCAGAGCTGTAAGCAGTAGCAAATGTTTTAAGTGAGCAAGACACATTGTATTGACATAAGCTACTTTCAAGGCACGTTCTGAAACTGGAGAGCAGGCTAGGCTTTCCCTGGATAAAGACAAGAAATTTTCTATACAGTTACTTGCCAAGGTAGTGTGGGTTATATCTGCCTGAATGCAAAATGCTAAAAGGCTTTAGGGAGTGAAATTTATTTTTTTAATCTGTCATGCCAGGTTTAGATATGGTTCATGAATGTCTGAGTTCCTTGTGGGGAGGAAGAAGTGGGGAAAACGAATGCATTATACGGATCTCTTCATAGCTGTTAAAATATGGCACACTTAATAGGAAGATGATAAATCTAATGTCTCTGAAATTAAATACCTGTCTCTCTATTCCTGGAGAGCATTTGGGAGGAAAAACAAAAAATGTTGGAATGTAATCCTACATTACATCCTTCTGTGTGCCTCGAAGTCTGTGGATCAGTAGCTAACAAGTAGTGCTACTGTATGCTGGCTTTTTCAGGTATCCTCATGCACAATTGTTTGCCCCTTCTTGCAATCCAGTGGCTTAACTGGGTACTGCAGTTCACTTACGAAGTCTGTTTTGAGCAGAGGAAGACAGGAAATAAATTTTAACGATAACTACCGTGACACTCTGCATGGGGATGTTGCAGATACAATTTGGTAGTGAATAAAAAGCCTAGAATTGTTTTCTTTTTCTAAAACAGCAAACTAGAGATTCAGTTTAGAAATGTAATCTGAAAAATGGATGAGATTCACATTCTGGAGCTGAAACTAGGTACCTACGCTGTTGTGGTAACAGAATTAGTAGTTTTCTTACCCAAGCATTTGTAGCTTTTAGCGACTTTAAAGGTGATAGTAACTGCTTGCACTTCTGAAATTCAAGTCTCTGTGTTTTTCCTCTCCATTTGAACATGGACTCATGCAGTATATTATTGAAATTCCTGTTTCTAGAGAGGCGTGCACGGTTTTAATGCTCTAAGGTGAAGGAATGAGCAGACATACCAATGCTTCCTGCTTGTGGTGGTCAAATTCCTGTTAAAATGTGCACAGCTATGGCATGGGTAAATAGTCAATGAGAGTTCAAGTGGTTCTTTCCACCCTGTGCTATGCTGCTGAGAGTGTAATGGTAAATGTTTCTGGGGTCAAGCATGCGTGGTCATTGTTCTTTAAGAGACTAACATGGGGAAGCAGGTTTCCAAACTGTAACTTGCCCAAATATACTGAGTTTTGAGGTGGTATTCTCATTTTTGAGATCCATTAGTGTAGCAGAAGTGGACGCACGCTTCTCGGATACCTGCTGTAAAGGTATGTGAATCCTAGCACTCGCTGCTGTGATGGGCAGCAGTGACTGTATGTACTGAATCACTAGCACAGCCACGGACAGCATCTTGGGAAGCCCTTGCCAAAGTGTTGGTAAGCTTGCAACCTTTCTGAGATTGTGAGATCTGGTATGTTTAATGTCTAAGTGGCTATAGACCAGGGCTTTTTTGATCTCTCTTTTAGAGGCCTAGATTGAGAAGAAATTGAAAGAAATGCCAAAACCATGTCTTATAGCATGAGTCAGGGATAGGTGGAACGTGGTTTTGGATCTCTCAGGTCTGTCTTTCCCCACCATTGACATGCCTTTGTGGCACCAGCGTCCCTCTGCCAACAATATGCCCGTGCTGCTTCCTCTTGCTTTTCCATTGTGCCAGGGCTGGGTAGTTCTGAGACCCACCGCCACTTTTTCTGTTTCTTCTAAACATTGCTATAAAAGCCCATTAACTGTGCTCCGTTTCTTCACCCTTTCTTCTGTCCTGGAGGTCTTCCACTCTGGTACCGATACCTCCTCCTTCGTCTGAGCCCTCCTGTGGAGTTACAAGCTCAATGTTCCAAGTCTTCCGGTGTTCCCTTTTCCCCTTTCTCCTCCCGCCTTTGTTTCTCTCTGTACGGGTGCCCAACAGAGGAGCTGTTACTCCAGTATAAAATCTCTGTCTTGGGTTCTGCGCCTCCTTCCCAAGCAAACACTGGGCGTTTACTACAGAAAATCAATACTACAGCATTTTCTGTTAAACTGGAATGAAGTTTTGTACTTACAAGGCAAACTGTAAGAAAGGCCTGTCAACTATACGCTTGCAAGAGTGGTTTTTCAAGGGCCACAACAGGGGACGCTGACTGTCAACAGACCATTGAACTATCCTTCATGTTCCAAATATGGCCCACAAGATATCTGATTAAAAATGGTTTTGATATTGTACGGTGTGATCTTAGAATTGAGAAGAAGGCTGGCTTAAGCTAGAATTCAGTATACAGGTTATCTAATTTTCAGTGATTTTAGTTCCTTGGTGGATCTGTAAGTTAATCTGAAAGCATTCTCTGCTTAACATGATCTTTCCTACGTGCAGAGTGTTCTGCCGTATTACGTGGCAACGAAAATGTCCAGAATCCGCAAGCCGACCTTCGATAAGCCCAGTCCTGAAACGTACGTCAGAGCTGCCTTGGGCACGGTAGGCCTGCAGTCCCAGACCAACGGGTGCCTACCCCATGCGCTCATGGTAAGTCACCTTAGGAAAAGTCAGGGTCTGGAATGTCCTTTCTATGTGTCTATTATGGAAGAAGAGTAAAGAATAGTTTTGAATATTAAATATTTTTGTTCTTTAACTTCTAATCATAACTTGGTAATGTTTGTGTGTGCTGGTAACTGTTAGATTTCACTTAGCACAGGCTGTAAAAAGCTGAGACTTTTCCCCTGCCTTTTCCCCCCTTTTTTTTTTTAGGGATGGATCTTCTCTCTTCTCCCTACATCTGCTGTCATTAATATACTCATGAGAACAAACAAACAAATACGGGCTCGTTATTTGAAAAAAATGAAGGAGAAGTAAGTTGGAGGCAGCTTGATTTCAGAAGCCTGGGACTCCTGCAGGTTCCATACCCATACTGCAGCACCAAGTAGATCTAATGTTTTAATAAACACCTTCAATTGTAAGTGTACTTCCTAACAAGCAAAACAGCCTTGTCTTGAGGATACAGGTGAACCAAGACTGCTGGCTTCTAATATTGATTTAAAAAATAGGTTTCATTTGTTTATAATAGATATTACGAGGGGGGAAGCGCTTTGGACTAAAATTGCACTGTGCTTTAAGAAATACTTACATGGACTTGATCAGACACTGCGCTGCTGAGGAGCAGCTTGGTCGTTTGAGGTCCATCACATCTTTGTATTGCACGCGTGGGTGAGGGGCAGTAAAGTAGTAGCTCACACATATTCCTGGACCAGGTGGGCAGGAGTGGGAAGGGAGCATATTTACTTAAGAAGGTAGCCTAGCGCTATTGATGGCGTGTAACTTTTTCCCGGCTCAGGTTTTGGGTACTTGCAAGGCTTCTGCATTGTCAGCCAGCTTGTGAGTGCTCCCCTGCCACGGTCCAGTGTGATTTGTGGTTATGAACTTCAGAGAAATGGGCCAAAAACCAAAATAAGTGTAATTTCTCATCTATAAATATATACAGAAAATAACATTGCAAAAAGTATTTAAATTCTTGGTTCTTAAATATGGATTCTAACTTTTCAGTAATGTGTAATCTTTACAATTTGTAATAACATTGTTAAAAATTCAGTGCCTGCTCTTTGCAATAGGTGGTGATAACACAATGTAGATAAATGTCACAGGTTATGTGCTGGTTGCTATGTAAAAGATTATGGGCACTTTAAATGCAGAGCTTGAAATGAGTTATTCTTCTTGTTAGCAATGATGGTTAAATTGTTTTTGAAGTATGTATCAGTCTGGTTTTGGTGAGGCCCTTTGAAATGTGAATCCTGAACATCTGAGACAGCTTTGGAAACGAGAACCATTAAACTTCTATAAATGTAGAACATTTTTAATTTAACTGATTTGTTTCATGGTTCTCTTCCAAAACGGACTGCTCCAGTGAGGCTGAAGTTACCCACCTCCTGGAGACGGGGACCAGAGCATGCGAGAAGTCTGCGCTGCTGTTGTCTCTATTTACCTACTCTATAAATAAAGATTTTGGTCTCTAACATTCCTTTTTATAAACATAAAATGTACTGGAACTTACAAGGGAAATCAAATTGGAAGCAGCTGCCGATGTTTTCTGTGGTGACTTCCTATGGCTGAAGAGCGGAGGTTGTTTTCTGTCTTTGTAAAAGTAATTTCAAGCTCTGGTTTTGAAGTGAAATGTACTGTGCTGAGGCATGACTGGAGGCTAACATTTCTGTACATTGAAAAAACCTGAATACCGATGCAATGGTGCTGATCAAACCCGAGATGTGGATCCTATCCCGTAGTTTTTGTCATTTCTTCGGAAGAGGGATGGAGCCAGCGGTGCGAGTGCTGTGGGAGCGCGGGGCTCCCGTGGCGCTGGAGCTGACCTGGAAGTGTTGGGCCAAACGCTCTGTGCGGTTTTGACTCTGTGAAACAAATAAAATGGGATTTACTCTGAATCTTTAATGTGTTGGTGTTTTCCTTAAAATGTCTGCCTGTGCATTCACGTGCCTGATTGATGTGGCAAAGCAGTGGCAGTCACTGTACTGCTACGTGCCAAACCCAACGCTTTTATTAACATTTTCCCGGCTGTACTCCTATTTTAAAATCACTGGAACACAAAGTAAGCTGTTGATTGGAACTATTAATTAAGCTATTCATTAGCGACAAGCCTTCGCTTTCAGCTGCTGGCTGCCCGCCGGCCCGAGGCCCCCGGAACGGAGC